TATTCCAACTGAGCAGCTCTTTTGAGGAAGGGCAGGCTCACAGACATTCTGTGATCAATGGTGATGGGTCCCATTTTAACACACACACATGCACCAGAAAAAGCACTTCTGCAAGTCAAGGAGAGCCCTCACATAGATCCACAGACAAGATACATAATAATAATAATAATAATAAAAACATAGATCCACATAGATCCACATAGATCCACAGACCAGATACATACATACATACATACATACATATCAAACAAAAACAAAACACATCTCTTTCACCACTGTATGCTAACTCATTAAAGATTATGCACAAACTTCTAATTGTGTTCAAAGTCCAATCAATTTTAATACCATGCCTAAGTGTCATTGGTAAAATCAGTTGTAAATGTTGGGCCAGCATTTCAGTGACCTAATTTATGTAAGTCGCCATTCCTGAGCGTAATTGTAGGTAAGTTCAGTACTGAAACATATTAAAATCTACATATTCAATACCTATCTTATAAGGTAAAAATACCAAGCATGTCTACTGTAGAAGCTTTAAAGTGGATACAGCACGATCTTTAGAGGAAATTATTTCTAATTACACCATCAATTGCAAGTTAAAGATATTCACACACATATTTTTTGAGAGATTAATTTGCAAAATGTTCAATCAAAACATTTTATGTGCATTAAACAATCACAAGTAAATCACTTTTGTCTTTAAAAAAAAATTATACTTTTTGAGAAATTATTACACAATTCAAATTAAATCTTGATTTATATTCAATTAACAAGTAATGTTTCTATTTTATACTATACTTTCTTTTAAAAGCTAAATAGAACCATTATACGTGGCATATTTTAATTTGTTTAAAAGAAGAATAAACTTACCAAAACATACCAATTGTGCCACAAAGAATAAAACTTATTTTAATTATAATGTACATATATGAAAAAAAAAGAAAAAAGAAGAAGAATTTATGTACCATTGTATACAATAAGATTTTGTATCATCCTCAACAAAGTTAGTATAGCTGACTGTCTTCACTTGGCACTCTCATTTGATCAGAGAGACAATGAAAGAATTGAATAAGATGATTTATACCCTCTACAACAAAGTACATTGAGATTATGAAATGATTGCAAAAGCTTTGAGGGTAGAAAAGTCAAGAGTTCAAGAGGTCGTGAAGAGAGGGAATTTGTAGATGCATCATATTGAGAATGCTCCTTACAAAGATAGTCCACAAAAAATTTTAAAGGCTTTGAGAAGAAAAGTAGAAGATGTAATAAATGAAGATCATAGGTTATTTTTGTAAGAGATTGCAAGATAAACAAATGTTGGACTCTTTTTCTCAAGCATTTATAAGATTATTTTTACTATTGGCTTTGCTTGAAAGTGCTACACTTTTTGTTTCATTGACATGGCTATTGTCATACTATAATTGCTTATAGTATGTAAAAATTAGTTAGGACATATAATATGTTCATAAGTCTTGGTGTATGTTAGAATGGTTAATAGATTAGTTTAAAGAGAGTATATATAAAAAAATTTATTTTGAGTTTTATCTATTTTGATTATAGCATTTAAAAAAAAATTATTGGGAAGGATGAAAGCAAGGCATGGTTGGATGAAGGCAAGGAATGGAGATCTTCATTCCTATTGGTTGAAGGCCATATCCAATGGGCTTCAAGGAGGCTGCCTAAGGCATTATTAAGGATTAGTGTTTATTTTTCGAAGTCATTTGAGCTTTGGAGGCTGGAATCATCAAGTTTAGGATTTTGGATACAAATTGGATGCAAATTTTGTGTGATTTGGAGTTTTAATGAAGGAGTTATTGGCACTCATAATTAAGGTGTCAATTTCATACATATTGTCACTTTTTGGGGCATAACATATGTTTATGGAAAGCAACGAAAGATTGGCGACTAGGGTTGGAGAGAGAACTTTTTCGACTACACTTTTTATATATTGTTTGATGAATTTGAAGTTCAAATGAAGAAGTTATAGAGGATTGAAGTCAGTGCATCCAAATCAAAGGTAGTAAGTAAGTGATTTTGTTCATAGTAATGGTTGGAGCCATATCTTGAGTTTTTGGATGAATTTTGGGCTCAAATCTTTTGAAGAAGGTAGATTATTGTATTAAAAAGACATACATACAAATTTTGTGGCATTTGAGTGCTTAATTTGTGAGATATGAAGAAATTTGCATGCATGTGTATAAACACTAGGGTTTGAAGCTATTATTAGGATTTTGGTGATATCTTAAGATCTGCAACGAATTTGCAATTGAAATTTGTTTTGGTAGTTTCTAGAAATACATCAGTATTTCATATACAATTTGAGTGTGTTTGAACAGTCAAATTGGAAGATATCTTTTTTGAAGTTCAAGAATAATACCTCACAAGGATATATAAGGATTTAGAGGTTTTATCATATTTTGGGTATTTTTGGGAACTTGACTTATATATTTCGTGTAATATCACCTAAAAGTGTTATATACATATATAAAAACTTTGTCTTTCTTATTTCAAGACTTGATTGAGTAATTAGTGGCAACTAGGAGCCTAGTGCTTTCTTAAGGCAAACTCTCTCTATCTTGATACCATTATAGTCTATGATCTATGCCTTGTAGGAAAGAAGGTCCATATATATGAAAGTGAGGAAATACACTAGAAGAATTTGAAACATAATTTCAAGTCATAAACAACAAATATTGGAGTTTTTGCATGAATTACCAAAAGAAGCCATTTTTTAGTAGTATTAGTAATAAAGATGACAAAAAAAAAGCTTGTTACTTTTTGCAATAGACTTGGCATCAATGTTGTGTAATTTGCTCAAAAATTTTACAAATCTTACGTTAGTTCTTTCTTTTGCATTCTAAACAATGATCCAAGTCACATCTACCTAGCTACAAATAGAGTAAGATGATACTAAGGGCTTGAATACATGAGAATCCACAGAGAATATGACTATACATAACTACCTCAACCATCAAATTCTTCAAACCTCAACCCAATTAAGAATTATTGGATGATTTTCAAATAATGCCTTAGAAAGTGTTTCTTGGAGAGAAAGAAGAGACTTCATGATGTCCAACAATTGTTTGAAGTGCCACAAGAAAAGTGGAACCTCATTATGATACTATAGATAAACAGATAGATGGGATGCCTAGAAAATTGCAAACAGTTCTTAATGCAAATGGAGATCACACTCAGTGGTAGTGGCTTAGATGGAATTCTTGTGGTCATGTAAATTTTCTAGATACATGAGAATGTGTGTGGTTGTGAGCTTCATTGAAGCAATTTTGTTTTGTTTTTCATTGGTAGGGGTACAAAGACTTACTGCACACTACTATATAACAACATTTTTGAAGCAAAAGAGTAGCTTAAAAAGTGAAGAAATATTCATATTCCCAAGCTCAACAGTACACAAAGGTCGTGCAAAGAGGAAAACAATCCTCACAAAAAAGAATTGGAGACAACATGAAAACAAACACATACTAATAATGATAATAATAACAACAATAAAGTGGGCATAAATGAATGGAAAGCGAGAAGGACGACCTACACACAATCCAAACCCCTCGTCGTCCTCGTCCTTCATTTGATTCTCCTTCTGTGTATTGCTTCCCTTCAGTTGCTTCGGTGACTTGATGCTGAAGTTCATGCTGAAGCCATGAAGTTCGTGCAGTTGGTGGGTCCAAGAGAGACAGAGAGAGAGTGGTGGTGGTGAGAAGCAGACACAGTATCAATCCATTCATTCATCCGTGGCAAGCCGGCAGGCAAAGCCAGGAGACAGGGCAAAGCAGGGCCATGAAGCCTGGCAGGGACCAGGATCTGACCCAACCGATATACTCTTTCACTCTCTCATCGTTGCCAGGCCGCAACACACACAGCCGAGGTCTCGCTGGGTCTCCTCCTTGGCAGAAGCAGGAACAGCAGTAGCCAGCAACAGCAGTCAGGGAGTCAGTTGCAGTCATGCCTTGCTTGTGCATGGTGTCGCTCTCCGCTTCAAGGCGATAAGCTACAAAACGTGGTCGAGACGCTGAGCTGAGCAGATCAGACTAGACTAGACTAGTCGGTAAGGGCAGGCCTACTCTTTTGGGTGTGGGCAGGGGGCAGCGCCCGCAGCCGCATCGGAGGTGCACGTCACAGGCTTACGCCTGACCCAAATCGTCTTTATTTACTTTTCTAGATATAATATGTATAAATTATTTCTCTCTACTTTATATTGCCCTACTTGTCAGTCACCAGCGAGGAGCATTCGGAAGCCTAGATCTCATCGATTTGAAGACTCATTCTCTCCTGCACCCAGTTCTCGCGTACCTGCAACCTGGCTCCCCCCCTCCACGCTACGCTAGTTGCTCAGTTGCGATTCGGACTCATGGTTTCGTGGATAAGACTTTGCCTGTCGAGATTCAGCGAAAGATTACGTATCCGGGAGGAATCTTAATGGTCCCCTAACCGCAACACGGATCTTATCAACTGCGATACCGCGCGTCCAGAAGAGGAGGTCTCTCAGGAGTGGGATTTGATCCACTGGACGTTTATGGGGGCTAGGTATTGGTGTCGGCGTGATCAGAGGTGGCGTTGTCGAGACGTTCCAGTTAGTTTCTTGTTTCTTTGTTTTATCGATGACTGGCGAGTTTTGCAATTAGGTTACTGAACTGGTTCTGGTAGTGCCAGTGCGTTCTGCATTCTTCCCAGCGGCTGTGCAGTGTGTTGATGACCGCACTTGGATTCATCCCGTAGCTGTGGAGTCGTGGAGAACTGCTCACGGGGTAGACGAGGAAGGAGTTGGCCAACTCTTCCTCGTCCGGGAATATGACGATGTGGCTTCCAAGTTTCCAGGGTTTGTGAGGAGTGGATCGGTCTCCAAGCGGCTGTTTTCGACTGGAGAGCCTAGCTGCTGAGAATAAGGAATCAAGTGTAGAGGATCTGGTTGGGCATGATCCACCTTCCACCATTCATAAATTGGCGTGGCTGATCCGATTCTTCAAAGCCTGCTAGTGTCCTCTCTTGCAGCATATGGTACATTACAGGAGTTCTCATGGTTTTTGTCTTACTGTGCTCCTCGTATCCGTTCTCCTGAGATTATTTGAGCACGTGTTTTCTCTTCGGTGTTGTGAGGGCGCTCTCAAGGAAATCGCAATAGCTCCCTACAGTCACCCTATCTCCAAGTTCGGCGAGTACGTGGTTATGCACTTTGGCGAGGTCATCTCTTAGATCCGAGCCCTTTGGTTCCGCCGATCACAAATGGCTCTCGATTACTACGTAGCGAATGATTCTTTTCGTCGTTGTGTAGGTTGTGGGCACTGCAGTTCACTTCAGAAACGTCACGGTGTATGCTAAAGTATCAAGGGACTTTCCAGAGGTAGTGGAACCACAAGTTTCCTCTCCGACCTTCTACTTTCGAAAGTTATCTCCCGACCATAGCGACGCAAGCGCGTAGTGAAGTCTAGCTATAACGAGGTTACGACTTATTCCAACCTTTACTTTCTAAATTCGACTGAAGTATTTACACCAGTTCCGGTACCGCAATCGGTGAGGCGATTATATTAGAACATATCTTGTCAATGTATCAAATGAAGAAGTACGTAAGCCCTGGATTGAGTTCACACATGCATCAGCAAATTATGCTCCTTGAAGACAGAGGCCCATCTATGTACGCTTCCCCAATGTCTGGCGATTTGAGCCCTACAGACCCTAAGCCTCGGCTTCGATGGACTCCCGAGCTGCACGAGCGTTTTGTGGATGCTGTAAACCAGCTAGGTGGCGCTGACAGTAAGTTCCTCTCCTATCTTTTACACTCATTATCCTCAAGTTCTTCACAAGTGTTTGTTGCGATGTGTTCATCGTGTTAGCTCTCAAAAAAGTGTTGACTCGGCAAATCCGACCGATAATTCGCATGTCCTAAAGATTTGACACTTAGAGTTTTGAGCTGTTTCAAGTGTTTCTCTTTGTGGTGAATTCATCTGGACCGCTTATTTTATCATGTAGTGAAAGCTTTGTCTTGATTTGTGGAGAGCCTATTCTCGAAAATGATTTCACCCAGCTATATGGTCAATAATGATCGTCATGCTCCAACAGTCACATGTCTCAGGATGATAGCATGAAAATGAAGCAACACCACACATCGTATTTTACATCAGTTTTAACCTCAAGACCTCGCAGATATGATCGTTCAGTTCAGTTCAGTTTTATTATGTCTTACTGGAGTTTTTTGTGCGGAATGCTGTCCCTCCATAAGCAGATTATCGCCGCTACGATAAAATTAGAATTGGTGGAGTAATCACAAAACTCTAGTCTGATAAAAATCAGCATACCTTGCTGAAGCATTGCCGTATGCCACTTCTGCATGTATTACTGGTGTAAATCGAGATTGAGCATGTGATCAGGTTTACTTTCGACAAAAGATGGTTTTCCAAAATAACGTTTTCTTGAGCTGGTAAATGGTTCAACAATTGCTTCCTCACGTACGTTGAAGTTACGCAAATATTAATTACTGTTTTGATTCAATGATGCAGAGGCAACACCAAAATCCGTGATGCGAGTGATGAGCGTCAAGGGCCTCACACTTTATCATCTAAAAAGCCATCTGCAAGTGAGTTTTCTGCTATATGTTACCTTCTTCACCCTAGCTACTTGAACCAGCGGCGGGTGCAGTTGGTGCCCGTCAATATTTGAATATTTAAGAACTGTTTTTTGACTTCGAGAAGTCTCACCAACTAAGTACGGTCATATGTTTTTGGCTTGCAGAAGTTCAGGCTTGGGAAGCACATGCAGAGAGAGTCCCATGAAGCGATAAAAAATGCTGCTCACGGTAACATTTCAATGCAGATTTTGGTAGAATTTGTTGTTTTGGATTTTTTGTAAGTTCTAACTGGCTGATGAATCATGCTCATAATGATTTGTGAAAAAAATTCCAGGTTCTTCACACCTGAAAGGGTCGTCGTCTGACAGTAAACTCTCACCTGCAAACCTACCGAATCCCCAAGGGTATGTAGTCACTTTTGTTCTGTTTCTATATCTCTTCTGCTACGTGGCAGCGGTTAGAGGCTAATTTCATTATGATCTCGCAATCACGAAAATGTCATCTGACAGTCATCAGTCATCTGACAACGCGGTGGATAATAAAACCGCAACTTATTGGTTTGAAACTGTGTGATACCTGTAGCTTTAGATTGTAAAGAAATCTTACTACGTTTAGAGGCTGATAAGAAGCGTTAGGTTTGACCAATTGTGTCATGGTATTTGTAAACCATGGATACAACTAACATTCTCGTTGATGTACGCAGTAAGTATGTTAACGTAAATGAAGCTCTACAGCTTCAAATGGCTGCCCAAATTCGACTGCAAGAGCAGCTCGAGGTTCAAAAACAACTCCAACAGCGGATCGAGGAGCAGGGGAAGTATTTACAATCCATCTTGGAGAAGGCGAAAGAAACTCTAGCAGACCACACTTCGACATCTCCAGTCCTGAAATTAGCCCATGAAGAGCTCACGGAACTTGCTTCCAAAGTCATTGATTATGAAATTCCAAAACCAGCTTTTGAATCCATCAAGTTGCCAGGTTTGAACCCTCCTGAGCTATCCCAGAAGCATGGTTCCGCTGACACTCAAGCTGTTATCACACCTGCTGCCCATAACCTGCGGCAGCAGCAGCAGTCACACTGTATACAGTCAGGGGCCTCGTCCCAGAAGTCTTTCCTATCGAATCTCCCTGCAGACCAGGATGACAGTGGGGACGAACACCAGGCCGTTACAGGTTAGGCCACAACTCTGATATCTACTTCACTTTTTTTCTTCCTTGTTCACGATTATGGTAACGGTAAGAATCTATTTCCATTATGCTGCTCGTACATCGGCCATACTATGCAGCAAATACATTGGCTGGATTTCCAATTATGCTCATTGTGAGCATGTTCCAGCTCGATAGCTTGTTGGATGTAAGCCTACAGTCCTGTGAACCAGTCTTTGGCAGTTTAACTGTCATCTTGGAAAAAATGCCACAAGAATGATCCTCCAGTGCAAGGATCTTCTCCTGCTCAGTGCCGGCAGGCGCGCAGGTGGCCGAAAATGGTCTACACGCTGACATGCTTGCAATAATGTCAGAAATGAAGGAATGATCCTCATCGTGGAATGCAATTATCGGCAGTCTGATTGATTGATGGGATATGGGAGTGGGGGATTACAGAAAGAGTTAGCAACAGTTCCAGTCAAGGAGCGTTCATGGTGGAGAAAGGCGTCTCAGGTTCAGCCTTCGAGAGGCCTCCAGCAAGCAAAACTTCCATCCTCGCAGACCACCGCGACACTACCACCACCACCACCACCAGCGCAAGCACAGGAGGCTACACTTGGCCCTCTGCTGCGGCGTGTCACGGCACATTTCAGGCGGCGGCGCAGAGCCGAAAGGTGACATCATCCGCGTGTGTGAAGTCGGAAGGATCCCCACTCGATCTAAACGGCAACAACAATAACAACACAGGTGGGCTGGATCTGAACGCCTTCGGCTGGGAGCAGCAGCAACAGCAGCAACAACGTTGATGCAACAGTTCTCCAGCACCTGATCCTCCTCTTTTCCTTCATTCCAATGCCATGCTATGCAACACAATCCTGTCTTACTCTCTTTTGCTTCTCACCTTCACAACCTATTCCTTCGCAATTTTTTCAGCAGCTAAATCTGTTGTCCAACTCATGAAAACCTGGACTCAGGCTGGATTGCAGCAGCACCACCACCATCACCCTCCTTCTCCTTCTCCTTCTCCTGCTTTTTTCACCCACTTCACTTCACTAGGCATGTCACAAATAAACATGGTCTGATTCCAAAGGGGATTCATGCATGTTTCCACCACACTGGCCCATCCGATTGCTTTGTAGTCTTTTGTGCTTTTTTGTATTCTAGGATACCCAATTGTCCGAGGTGGTCGTGGGAGCCTTCTCTTCGAAACAACGTAGAAGATTGGTAGGGAAACTCGTAGCTGGGCTACACCTTTGCCTTTTAAAAAAGTTTTTTCTTTTCCTTTATATTTATATATACATATATATATATATATATATATATATATGCTCTCATGACTCGTTAAATTGTGAATATTGTCATGTGGCTGTTAAATGTATGTACCAGATGTCTGGAAAAAGGATAATAAAACTGTTGCTAAATGCAAGGAGCTTGTAGCGGTGATTTCATTTGAAGTGGCAGGAGGAAATAGTGGCTTGTTGTGGCTATTGTTTCATTGGCAGTTTTTTGAAGTCTGTGAGTTGTGCAATGAGTCCCATTTAGGGCACTCAAAGCTGGACTACTTCTTTGCTTTTAAAATTTTCCTAAGATACAATTCATGGCACTTAGTACGTCTTTATATATATGTCATTTTAATATAATTTAATAATAGTAAAAAGTAAGAAGCGACTATAAAATGGATTGAATCATTCTTTTTTAGCTTGTGTCTGGTCTCTAAAAAGTTCAACAAATGCAAATAAATATACAATTAAGTTTACTTTTACTGACTATAGTTAATAAAAACTGTCAAATCTTCTAATTCCTTTTTGTAAAAACCACCTTTTGAAATAGGTTTATTGCAAACTTTGGGAATCAATGCTAATTGTCTCAAAAAAAAGATTTAAAGAAAAGAACACACACATCTTTTCCACATAATGTCTTGTTGACTAATTTTTCTAATTATAAAGCCAATTAAATAATATTTCTCAATTTCAACCAATCAAAGGATTTAAAACCTATCTTCTAAGTATAAAAGAAAATCCCTTACAGTTTTTAAAAATAGTTATATCTCCACTTAAAGATTTCAAATTAAAACTTTGTAAATTAAAGAAGTCTAACAACTACAAACTTTTAATAAACAATTGGATTTCTTCAATTCTAGTAATCATTGACATGTATTGTTATTACTTTGTCTATATACAATCAAAAAAATCAGACAACTCTTTTTTTATAGTTAGTAGAATTTTAATTGAATGCAAACATTATTATTTTATAAAAATTACTTATTGTATTAAAAAATCAAGAAATGTCTTTAAATAAGTTGAATTTGTACAGTTTCAGTAGAATAAAGTACAAGGCAATAGAACAAGTGATTTTAAAATCTATAATAATATAAATGATTTTGATATAAGATATATAGTTAAGGTTATGAATTATTAAAAGAAGAGATTATTATAAGAAACAAGACTAATAAATCATTTCAGAAGTGTTAACTTTCTTAGAATTTATTGAAATAAAAAAATTAAGAGAATCAACTAATAGTTGTATTATTCATGAATACTATTTTTTGTACCTAATCTAAAAAAATTAAATGAAATGAGAACTAAAATTATAAGATCAACCAAAGAATATTTAACCATCAAATGAACAATAGTTTAAAGATTTTAATTTATCTATATAGAAGAAGAGATGAAAGTGAGAAGAAAAACTAAAACAGACCTTTTAAATTTTTCTTTTCTTTTTTTAAATTCATGTAAGAATGTCTTACAGAGTCTATCAATGTTGTTTTATTGCAAGGCTATATCATTAAGAATCCTTGAAGACCTAAATTTTAAAATAATATTAGAGATTCTGTGCCAACTGTTTTGGACATAGGTAACAAAGAAATAAAATTAGGGGAGCTCTTATAATTACACATAAAATTGATAGTGTCATAATTACACATGTAAGATAAATCACTAGTGATGGTGAAAATCACTACAAAAATTAGAATCATTGAGAATTGAAATCCACTTCCAAAACATAAATATTGTGTTGGACCTAAAATTGAAATTATATATCAATTGGGTGCTAATTATATCACAGTACTACTATACTTTGAAATGCTTTAAATATTCATTAATCAGCAGTGTAACAATTAACACCTTTGTAACAATAAAAAATTGAATCATAATTTTTAACATTAAAAATTATAATTTTAAGTTCAATTAAGATCCTATGCAAGTTCTTATTTTATTTCTCAAACAATATAATACAATGTGTTAAAATAGATTGGGATGTATAAAAATGTTGAAAACAAAAGTTTACAATTCTTTGGTGTTATTTTAAACCATTAGTGTTAGTAGTAATTCAAAGTTGTGAGAAAACATTTCTTTTAAGCTTTGTTTTCCCTCTAAATGAAAACCATTAAGATTCTATGTACCAAAACAAAATCTAAGGCCCTATTCCAAAATCAAATGATAATCCCCCCTCTCCCTGAAAACCAACCTAATACACCATTGTATAACAAACTTTGTCAACCTTGACCATAGTTTTCTCTACAACAACCTAAATATGAGCAAAGGTTGTATAGTTATAATTGTGATTAAGAGGCCATGGGATTTCCTTCGACAAGACAGAGACCCTAAACAACAAGCAAGTATTCCAGGAATTTTGCAAGGCTATTAAATCGAAAACATAAAAGTGTGTTTCAATCGCCAAAGGTTCTGGAACGTGAGTGCTCAAGACTACAATCTAACCTGAACACGAAGGTTTCCAATTGGGGTGAGCCAAAACGCCACCTCTCCAGCAAATTTCTCCAGAAAAGGTGTAATTTTGGAGCTCTTGACTCTCCTAAAATCATGATGAATCTCGCCTTGTCCACGGGTTGTCGTCAATCAACCTGGAACATCAGTCAGACTTAAGAAACTGCTTTTACCCTCCTTTAACAAAAATATGCCTTCACAAACCGATCCATTTCAGTGGGTTCAGGAGGCAAGTCCCACGACTACAGGACAAACAGACCCCCACTCAGACATTGAAGTAGACACGGTTGTCGTGCTTCCATATAATTGCATTCTTTTCGAGGACTTCGTAAACCTGAACTCAATCTAAGTGTTCACGAGAATGGCAAGGTGAAAGTTCATGAGCAACGAGACATGCGAACCTGGTTTCAGTTTTTCTGACAAGCACGTACACTGCGACTCTGGGGTTGCAGTAATCTGGATGCAAGTCTGCTTCAAGCACTCTGCCTATGGTAAAGTCTTCCAAAGCAAGTCTGAAGAAACACTCTAGCACCGCATCTGTGGAACGAAAGAAGTTCACATTGTTAAGTTTGGCAAGACAAAGCATTAATTCCAGACTCAATTCGAATAAGAGGTTGGTCACACTAGTAATGATGACTTCATTAGACTGCAAATTAATTAATTCCTCTGCAGCTTTACTGAAAACACGAAGCTAACAATAGCGAAGTGTTGCTTGAGGTGCTTCAGGCGGAAAATGTACATGTTTATGTCCAAGTCATCATCTTAGGTTTAAACTCGAGTATTATTCTCTTGCAACACTGGTTATTATCAAAATCTAAGCATAGTAATGAGTAAAGCATTTCCTAAAGCAGCTTAAACTACTCATCGCATGAAGAGATATACTGTACCATTCCTAAGCTCGCCAGAAAGAAGCACTGTCGTGTCGGAACCCGTCAATGAACGCAACGTGTGAAGCAGTTGCGGTACAACATTCTCGTTGTAGATTACATCTGAAGCCAAAACTATCCACACATCACACTGGCTATCATCAGTGTTGCAATTCTGCACCCACTTGAAGAACGAAATAAGCATGCAATGCTACTTAAACATATGAAAAACATACTGCATAAAACCAAGTTGGCAAACATGGGATACACGCTGTCATGAACTTAAGATTTCGAGCGGAATCAAGTAGCCAATAATACCTCTGAGCCTAGACAGAAGATAGACAGACTCAAAGATCATACATTCATTCAAACGAACCAACCCTCTTCCATTGATAATTAATCGTTTACAGAGAGTCAGCTGTGCATATACGTTTTTTTGATATGTTCTACAAGCAAATACACAAGGTTCTTCAAAGAACAAGACGGAAATAATTGAGCGAGGATTTGATAACATAACACCTCGTCAAAGCATTCAGCGCTTAGTGACACGCCAGGCATTCCAACAGATGGGAGTACAGTTGCAAAACCACCTCATCATAGAAATTGCTCAAATTTTCAAAAACGGGAGATAAGCAAACTTAATAAGAAACATCTTACCAAAATCTGGGAGAGGGTCCACAATTTCTTGGTCGGGTTGGTCTCCCCACAGGAGACCTCGAACACAAGCACTTCCATGAGATTTCGATAAGGAGTAACTATTTTCATCTACGTTCTTTTGAAGCAATCGGAGTCTGTCACTCATGTCTGTCATTATTACAGTGGCGCCCAGGAGTGCTGTGACACATCTGCCCATGGCCAATTCCTCTATCAGAGCAAGTATTATTGAACACATAGCTTCCCACTGAAGATTTCGTTTCAACCGAAAACGAGATAAACTCTAAGCATTAACACGATGAGCTAAAGACAATCCTTAGCATCACACCACCATCCTTCAAACAGACCACATAAAATTCAGAAATGAAGCAAAAATATCCCACAGATATGTAGGAAGATAATTTGTGCATACCCCGTAAGCCCACAGCCAGCTCCTATCTCTACACATTTCTTGCCCCGCAATTGTAAGCCCTGTGTGTCCACGGCGTGCTCCAGCAGCTTGGCAAGCACCACACCGCTGTCCCACATGACTCCTCCTGTCACTCCAAGCATGTTCTGCTCATCATCCCATTATCATCCCCCAAACCCTAAACCCTTGTTAGCGTGCTACAAGGTTTTGATGTTCAAAAAGTGCAGAATGCAGAGAAATTGAAATTCAAGGTAAGATTTAGAAGGGGGTCACAGCAGATGAGGAAGAGGATTACCACAGATGAAGGCGCCTGCATAATGTGGAGCACTTGCCCACACGCATCCAGCTGCAGCTCCAAGGAGCCCTGCGAGACATACACATGTTGTTTGATGCTGACGGGATTCCGAAATGCCCAGAGCAGCAGCGTCTCTTCAGCTGCATCTTCCACCACCTTCACTTTTGTAGGGAAAGCCCCCAAGCACGCCATGGCGTCCTCTTCTGCATCACCAAATCTTTCTTCAGCGGCATCTTCTCTGCTATCAACCATGCCTGCTAAGTTATTTTCGCTCCAACTTCCTATTCACAGCCTTGATGAAATCTCGCCATACACTGTTGCTATTCAATCGCCCAGCTTGTAGAACCAGCTAAACGAACACTCTGGTCCTCCTCAAACACGCGGTAACCAAATCTCGCAGGGCCAGGAACAAAGAATGCCGTTCTCAAGTATATACCGTCCTAATTTCACTCTAGCACATAGACGAAGCAGATGATCCCTACAAAAAATATTCTAAAAAAATCGGGAATTTGGACGGGACAAGTATCGATAAATCTCATTTTTCATGCACAAAGCACTGCGGGCATGGTTGTCAAAACCTGGAGGATGAGAGCAAATCCCTAGCCTTCACACCAGTGAATCTGTTTGCATTCCTGTCACGTCAGTTGCAATCTTTTCCGCTAATTCCATTCATTACGTGTGTCCCAATCTGAAACCCGATGGAGATTGTGAATTTACCTCATGGTAATCAAGTACAGTGGATGCAAGGAACGACACCTGATTAGTAAATGTACTCAGATCACATTGTGCATCGTAATATTAACACTCGTAGAGGTGAAGTGTGCGCAGAAGTATTCTTGGTCTTAACATGCTTCTTCTATGCACATGCTTGCCCACACTTCTACAGGTAGAGGAGATGCGACAGCAATACCAAACAATCAAAAAACACTAAAACATTTCCTTACATTCACCCAAGGAAACCTAAAAATTTACATTAAACCAGCAAACCAACACATCAAAATTTGACAGCAAACCAAAAAATTTGTCATTAATGGTAGCAAAACCGACCACTGTGCACCTCGAAAACTAAACAGCCGTCTTGAGAACAGCTTGAGGAGCTCCCAAAGTAGACATCATCGAAGGTGTTAATGACTCCAGAAATGAGGTAGGGAGTGAGTAGTGGGGGGTGTATTCATTGACTGTTGTGTCAAAATCAAAACTGGCATTAACTGTCATTTCTGAAGAAAGATCACAAGCAACTTCGAAGCGTTCTCCTGGCATTCTTTAGGAAAGTTGATTCTGTGTACACAGGGCCGTTGTCCAATGCAATCCAGATACCATCATACACTCAACAACAACAGGTCGATTCGAAATGTGAACCAGCTGCACAGACAGAAACATCTAAACATGGATCACCGGAATGGTCTGGCAACTAAATTCTTCGCAATCCTGTGCGTGAAGACCACCTATTAACTATCCTGCACTTTAATTCAATATCCAAATACAGTATCCCTGTAAATCTAATACAAAACTAGAATACCGTAGAGAAGCAGAAAATGGAAAATGACTTCAAAGCACTTAATGATCCAGCACGACAAGTTTTCAGATACTTCTCAGCATGCGAGCACCTTCAGAAACCTAGTCCAAATCTAAATAACAAGAGTATGTGCACATGATAACACACTCCCAGCTAAGATAAACCAACTACAACAATCAACGACAATGAACATATGCATCAACCGTACAGTTCTCTTTACACAACCAAGACAGAACTACGAAAAAAAACTGCAACTATGTTTCATGGAGATTGTACACAATTCTCATGAAATGATATGTTCCATGAAATAATACAAATTATCTGAGTGGAGATAAACAGTGCCACTCAGCGTCACCCGCAGATCGATAAGTCCTAGTTTCTTCTAACCCTAAATATTGATAGTCACCATCGTACAGTATAAACCTATTGTTACAAAGTAACTTGAAACTCATAACCTTCACCCACAAACATCGTCCGTCTAAACCCTAAATCGTCAACTCCCAACTCCCATGACTCCATTAGCTCCTCCATCATCACTGCCAGCAAGCAACCCTTCTTGGCCAGCCCTGCCAGAGTCAGCCCCCCACACCCACGCCAACAGCCCCGCACCAATCATCTGCAAGTAGTGGTTACTGTTATATCCAGCAACGACGAGGAAGATGAGGAAGACAGTGTTGATGATGCAGCGCTCCCACCAGTCCAGCATGTAGAGCCCCGTCGTAACGTTGTAAAGGAAGATCCATCGATCAATCTTCTGCGCCACACGGCTGTGAAATCGCCGAGGTGGTTGTGGCGCCTCATACTGCGGTTGCGCATGGTAGTTCACCGAAGTGTCCATTTGGCAAAACCTCTCCGCACCTCAAGACCTACAATACCCCCTCCTCTACTCGTCAATACTAGTAAAGTGGCCCCAGCGTCGTCCTCTTATCATTCAAATTGTCCCTTACATGACCTATTCCCTTGAAACGGAAATTATCACATCACACTCGGTTGAAACAGCCCGCTCGGGACACCGCGAAGTCAGCAACGATCCCTGCAACTACCCAGTTCCTGACGCTCCTATTCACCTCCAACCCTGTGCAATCGAAGTCCGCTGTATCTTCTTACTCCGTCATTCGCTGCCTGTACAGAACGCAGTTTGAGAGGCATTGTATAGTATTATTGCATCTCCAAGGCTGACGAAGAATAGTGACGTACCTTGACAGAAGCAAACGTAAGCGTCGTAGCTAAGATTACACCGCATAGATGACACAGCACAACAAATACGCGGACATTGAGCTGACGATTGACTAAAAAAGGCGAGGTGCCCAAAACCCCCGCACGAACTACTGCGATGCTGCGGTGGGTACCAAATGTTTGCTCTGATTTCCCATCAACGAATGGTGGAATCCATTCCGGCAGGGCAGTGAAACCGACTACAACGAAACATCACACTGCACGCAAGCAAGGAAAGCAAAGAGATCTGTGGTGGCATTCATTGCCTGTCTGTGAAGCATGAAGGAAGGAAAACGAGTCTTCTTCACCCCACTCTTAGGGCTAGGGTTAGGTTTTGGAACTCTTTCTTTGTGGAGGCTGCTGCTTCGTTCTTGCCCATGTTGGATATATTAGCTGATAAAAACACAATTTCATCTCTCACCCTCTCTAACTTGCATTCATTTGTCATGTGATTCTCTTGTCAATCTTTGGTATGGATAAATTGGTTGTGGTTTGGGCCAATGTTTTCATTTTGTGTTTTTTATTTTTATTTTGTTATTAGCGTTTTATTGTGTCTTAGTGGATTGTAGGTGCATGCTCCATAGGTCAATATTAAAGAGGTTTTATAGTGAAGAGATTTTATCTATATATTTTTTATTTTTATTTTCTAATGTTATTCTTTTTCATTGCTTTGTAATGTGCTTTCATTTTATATTTTGGAATGTTAAATAGACCCAAGTTTTTACTAAATTGATCCATCCATCTTAACCATCATGAAAAAAATAATGACTTTTAGATTCATTTCATCACTACTGGATTTTGCAATCAATAAAAACCAACCATATTTATCATGATTACCATATTCTTTATTAAAGGTGGGTCTATTTAGTAAAAGCATGGATCTATTTAACATTCTCTTTTATATACTATAACATAATCATGTAGATTGTGTTGATTTGGTACAATACTAGAACGACTATGTTTATATGTTATTCATTCTTAATGCCTTCTCTTATCTTCCATTAGAGAGGTTCAAACAAGGTCTTTTTGGATAATATTTCACTCATGATGAGATCTTGAAGTATCCTATAATATTTTGAAATATTACTTTATACTTCACCAAATCACCTACCTTGTAAGATAATTGATTTTGAAAGCAAAATATCAAAAGAGGGCGACATTGTTGTCATGGGCATACATAGGTATTTTAGTAAATACTTATATGGTTAGATAGAAGTAAATAAAAGTAAATAAAAGTAAATAAAAGTAAATTAATTTCATAAGATCTTTTAAAAAAGCTTCCTAGAAGATTCATAGATGTTCCTTGACTTTACATGTGTTTGTAGTTGATTGATAGATTAGAAACTTGTTCAACAAAACCACATATTAATAGCTTGTGGAACAAGCTAATTATGTGGTGCACATATAGAAAACTTACCTTGCTAGTTAAGATATGTGTCTTATAAAGTCAACACATTTTGAAGGTCCTATAAGACATCGCCACATAGCTGCTAGTTAAGAGTATATATAGAGACAAGAGTGAAGCCTTCTTTACTCTTGTTAATGCCTTTCTAGTCCTTAATCTTGTTTCAAGTCTTTTTAGTCTTCTTGTTTTTGGCAATAGCCATTCTAGTTCAATATTATATCATCTTTGAGTGAATTTCTAGTTCCTTTCAGTGACACAAGAGTATATTGAGGATTTTCCTTCTTTGAGATTCATGTCTTTCACAATTTGAAAAGAGTGCTAACATAATGTTTCTATTTTGTTTTAAAAGTGAATGGATTATTTCACTTCTATTATTGTATTTTGGAGGTAGCAGACTACCCACCTTTAAATAAAAAATCTTATTTTCTAACATTGATATTTTCCTTAAAGAAAATAGATTACTCTTCTTTGTAGATTTTTTTTTATTAGAGGTTGTGGATTACCCTCCTCTAACTTAACTTTTTAAATTTGTTTGAATTATTTATGAAAAGAAAGATTATAGATACTACTCTTAACGGAAGTGAGAATAGATTTGCAACTATTGTAGATCTTTATGAGCTTGTCAACATTCTAAGAGTAGAAATCTCATGTATTTCCAACATGAATCATAGAAGTACTATGCCTACACCTATGGAAGAAGTTCTAAGTCTGCAATTGGAAGAAGCAAGTAGATCGACTTCACAACCAAATCTGTGGAGTTTTGCTTTTACAAGTATAATGGAGACAAGGATTAGTATGCCTAAGAAGTTTGATGGAACAAGATCAAAATTTCAAGGATTTTTGCAACAAGTCAAGCTTTATCTAAGATTGCATTCTTTCCAATATCTCGATGGATTTATTCAAGTTAGATTCATAGGCACAATTCTATTAAGAAGTACTTTTTCTTGGTTTTTACCTTTAATGGAAAAAGATTCGTGACTCCTTTATGATTTAAATTCATTCCTAGAAGTGTTTATAACCACATTTAGAAAAAAGTGATCAAAAAAGAGTAGCAGAGACCAAGCTTTTAATTTTATGGCAAAGATCACTGTCAGCCACCATATATGCTACTGAATTTCAAAACTTCACTTGTGACATGGACTAGAATGACAAAGCTCTTATCAATAAATTTTGATATGGATTGAGGGATAATGTCAAAGACTTGTTATTAGCAATGCCAAAGACAAAATCTTTGGAACAATTTATTGCTGAAGCCATTGCATGTGATAATTAATTATTTGAAAGATGTCAAGAAAAAAGATTTGGTTGAAGAAGAACAAATCAAATAATGACAACAACTTCTAAGTTTTTTGAAACTTATTTATTAAGGCCAAAACTAATGCAAATTAATACAACCAGTTTTAAATTCCTCATAGAGTAAGAAAAGAATGGACAATATCAAAAAGTCTTATGCTTATATTTTGTAGAAGCTAAAAATTTTCCTCAACATTGTTTAAAGAAACAATGTAATTATAAAATGAGAAGCAAAATTGCGAAAGAAGACAATGTGTTAAAAAATGAGTTGCTCCAGCTATAATAGGGACGATATAGCTAGAATAATATGCAGCATCTAGTAAAGGTCTTCTCTTCTCTTCAGATCTCTCATCTTGTTTTATAATAGAAGTATATTTAGGACTACAAAATCACAAAATTTTAGCCTTGTTGGATTCAAGAGCCTCAACCTATTTTATAGATGAAGACTTTGTCAAAAAAAAAGATATATCCTTTATTAAGAAAATCAAACTTGTCCATGTAAAAATAATAGATGAATGTTCATTATCTTTAGGATATGTTACACATGAAACTATTCCTGTAGAAGTAGCAATTAGTAGTCACAATAGTTTAGTAATATTTAATGTGATTAAATTTTCTTCTTATTCAATTATTTTAGGATTATCATGATTCAAAATATATAATCCTTAGATAAACTAGATTTCTTGTAATCTTAATTTTTTCCATAGTTTAGTCCAAGGTCCTATTAGGTAAGTAGAAATCCATAAGTCTAGTACATCCAAACCTTTATTGGTAGGTGCGAGAGCTTTCATACATGCCGCAAATCAATAGCCATCTTTTCCTATATATGTCATGCCCATTGCTGATCATGAGAAGATATCAAGTGGTATTCTTAGTGAGTATCAAGATTTTCAAGACGTTTTGAAAAGAAAAACCTAAGTATTCTTCTAGAGCATCATCGTTATGATTGTTCCATCAATCTTAAAGAAGGAACTCAACCACCATTTGGACCAATCTATAGCCTATTACAAAATAAGTTGGTTGCACTCAAAGAATATATTAATGAAAATTTGGCTAAGAACTTTATATGCCATTCTAAATCTCTAAGCGAGGCTCTTATCTTATTTGTGAAGAAAAACAATGAAACTTTGCAGACGTATGTGAATTATTGAAGACTTAATTAGATCACCATCAAGAATGGATATCTTGTATCTTTGATTTCAATACTTTTTGATTAACTAAATCAAGTAAAAAACTATATAAAAATAGATCTACAAAGAGCATATAATCTAGTCCATATCAAAAAAGAAGATGAATAGAAGACTGCTTTCCAAACTTGGTATGGATAATTTGAATATAATGTCATACCTTTTAGACTCACGAATGCACTAATTACTTTTCAACATCTAATGAATGATGTCTTTTGTGATTTTTTTGATGATTTTGTTATCTGTTATTTGGATGATATTTTAATCTATTTTAAGAACACAAAAGAGCATAAAGTTTATATTTGTCATGTATTACAAAAACTAAGAGATGCATGATTACATAAAAAGATAAAAAAGTGTGTATTCTATACTACTTAAGTTGACTTTTTGGAGTACATCATTTCCAAAGAAGGCCTTATGATGGATCCAAAGAAGGTCTAAACTATCATAAATTAAAAGATCCTAAGAACGGTGTCGTATTATGTGCTATCTTGCATGAGAATGCACCGAGGATCTAGCTGTGGAAGATAAAACAATGTTTTGCAAGTATCTAGGTAGGCTAGTGGGTTTCAACCATCTAAATACAAACTATTTTGGATTTCAATATAAAAGCTTAATCCCAATACAAAGTACTTAGAAATACTATTTTTAATAACTTCAAGATATTATAAGCACAAAATCTTTTGTTATTTATTAATTTATTTTATTTTATTTTATTTTATTTTTTATTTTTATTTTTATTTTTATTTTTATTTTATTTTATTTTATTTTTAACCCTAATTCTAGACAGCGAGCTTCAGCAAGCTGTAATTCTCAATTTGACCATCCGATTGTTGTAAATTTCTACCACTACTGTCTTTGCAAGCCTTCTAAATGCTCAAGAAGTTTCAATCCAATCTAACTTACGGGTTGCAAAAAAATGCCGTTAATCCACATTGATGTATCTTGACCGCCGCATAGAAGTCCTTGACTTACCAAGCCAAAAGTCACCTTATTTCAGTCGATAGATCTCTAGATATTATAGAAACCCTAAACAACCTCAATCTACTAACTTCCGATACCACTTTATACTAATGGTCAAATATCCTCTATTTGTTTCATCAGATTAATACAAACTTTTGCATGCACTCGGCATACTCAACCCTCTAGATACCTCTAAATTTCAACTGCAAAAGTATCTTCAATTTCAAAAAACAGTCAAGAGTACCAGCCATTACTTTATTGCAAAAAATCCAATTCACCAATACAAATACTGACTTTCAACAATGATTGCCAAAGTTTTTTCATATCCTATGAAATCCAATTCTACACCTTTCAAAGGAGCTTGAAGCTAGCTCTCTGACCCCCAAAATCCGATCTCTGAATGCCCCTTTCCTTATCCTCTCCTCCCTTTTAACTCTGT